AGCAACAGGCACGCCTAATCAATTATATTTAAGAATAAATATTCAAAGAAACCATGATATAAAGTAAAAATATTCAAAGAATGCAAAGACTGTTCGTGGTCTACACAAAAATTAAATTGCAAAATGAACTATAATAATTCAATAAAACGTTTATAAAGTTATATTATTTTACTAATATATTTTTAAAATTAAAATTAAGTTTGTAAACTTAGTACTGTACAGTACTGTAGGCTATCTAATTAGAAATTTTACTGCTAAATATGAATATTTCTTTAATTAGAGTTTATTCTCCATAAAATTCTCTTAATATGCGTAAATAATATATCATAGTTTATAAATTTTAAACTAATTACCTCATGGAAAATGTTAACTAAAATCTATGTTTGGACTGATGACAATAATAATGTGGCAAAACGAATATCAACGGAATAACTGGTAGATAATGAATAATTCGTTGAGTTAAATCTTAAACGAATAACTTAATTTAGATAAAAATGCGCATTATTATTCAACCCGAAAATTTATGCAATAATCTAGTTCCATTTATTATTCGTTACTTTAAATATGGGCCGGTCTAACGCACGTGCCGAATATTAACACTCGTGAGGGCGGATCATAAACATTTCGTCGCTCGATTTGCCATCTGGTGAGTAAAATTTAAACTAATTTATATTAAAATGTTTTTTTATTTTTAAATTTTTATTAACATCAAAGGCATTTCGATTGCGTTTAAAAGGTTTTAATAAAGCAAAATTGTAGTTTTTAAATTATGCGATGACATTCAATTATAAAATAATACTTATACTTAATATTTAATATATTTTATTATAATATAAAATGAATTTAATGGCTTGGAACGGTTTTAAGTATTAAAAATATTTTTACGTATTTTACATAAATACGTAAAATACATATTTTACATATGATAAAATTGTATAATAAAATTACATATTACGTAACATAATTAAGTAGTGAAATAATTATGTATTGTAAAATTGGAATTTTACAATACATAATTATTTCACTACGTAATTATAATACGTAATACGTAATTTGTATTAATTATAATAATTGCAATCTTTTAATGCTAATCTTTACATTAAAAATAATTATAATTATATAATGAGAATACGTTTCATGAAAAAATTCATTTACGTAATTTTCATTACAAGAATTCGACTGTGAAGTTAAATATGGACAACGAAAAACTTCGTAATTTATTTATTAATAATTATCTATTTTCAATTGAAATTCTCTCATATTCGTTAGCTAGAATAACATTTCGCGATTCGAAGTGATGAAAATAAATTGATTCGGCGATAGAAATAATACGCGTAAAACATAGGAAAGGGAATTAATTTCTTTCAGTTTTCTGAAAAAAAATAAATGCAAAGAGGCAGAAAAATAAAAAGAAAAACAGATTTTACGTGAAATTCGGTTGCCGGTCAAAAAAGAAAAATAAAACAGGCAAAGCTAAATGTATTTACCGAGAATGGAATAAAGAATAAACAAGAGACGGAACGATATAGAAAATGTTAGAAAAAAGCCATGAATATATTAAAAGATTTTTTATTACATCCAATAAAAATTGTTTAAATTTATTGCAAAAACTGAAGTAAAATTTCATTATGTCCGAAATGATATTAAAGCGATAGAAAAAGCTGGCTGATTGAAAGCCATTTTTATCACATTCGTTATATTGATGTTTCTCTGTATTACGAAAAAAAGAAGATAAACAATACAGCTTAATACGACTTTATTTGAATTCCTGTTACATATCCTTGTTTTGTTTGGAAGGCGATTCTCTAAAGGCAGCTTGTGAAATAAAAGTAGCGATCAGTAATTGTTTTACTACTTTAATTTAATATTTTCACGGTTTCCATGGTCCCAATTCCTTTCTCAGTTCTTCTAATTCGGGAATTTTTTTCCACTCTTGCGCTATTGTTATTAACTGGAATATATAAATAAAAGTTTATATAATAAAAATAATATCGGCGATTAATAATATATATATTTTTTGTTAATAATATTAAAAGACACATCCAATACTTATATAAATTTTAAGTGGAAAACAAGCGGGATTTGTATCTTTCGCTGCAATGCCAAAAAGACATTTCTTTTAAAATATTGGTAAAAAATGGTAAAGTTTATTCAAACTAAATTTATTCAAGCAAGTCACTGGAAGAAAACAGAATCATTTCTTTTTTCTTTTTTCTCTCCTCTTAAGATTTCGCCAAAATTTATGCATTATTAAGCGATGGCTCTACCTGCCCGCATTTTCAAATTAGTTCCTTTTGTTGAATAAATTTTTACATTTCTTACTAAAATTACGGATAAAAAATTTCCTGTTCTTTCAGATAAAATTTATTAGTTCTTGAAATTACACGATCGATTTAAATATTTATATGAAGTAAACTAAGGCAACAAATCGAAGATGTGGAATTTACTAAAACAGAAATTTTCTTATCCATATAAAAAAAAATATATAAAACTTCTATACATATATATAAATTTCTATAGACAAAACTTTTATAAATTTATAAAATTGTTTTTATAAAACGTAAAATTTTATTTTTGAATAAATAAATTTTCAAAGTGTACTGTTTTTATTAAATATATTTATAGATATTACTATATAGGCATATACGTTTTTCACTTAATATATACCAATAGAACGAAGAATATTCTAAATTTTAATTTATTTTAATTAAAAATTACTCTACTTAAAACTAAATAAAAAGCAAAATAATATACGAGAAATAAATTACTTTGAATTAATTAATTGCATTTTATTACTTTATAATAAAGAAGAAAGTATTTTAATTACTTTTTGAGGTTTCTCAGGATCTATTCTTTCCCAGGGCGGTATATTCTTTTTGTCAAAACTACAAAGTAAATAATTTCATTAGAAAAATACATTGTGTTTTGTTTTTATTTATATATAAATTAAAAGTGAAAGTGACTTACACAACATCACTTTTGCTGAAAAAGGAATAAATACCGAATGCAATCATTCCTGTGAAGGCGAATCCAACGATGGTTACGAGGGGAATCACCTTTTGAAAAATATAAATTAAATCACACAATATTATTTTTAATACATAAAAAATTATATAAATGTATACCTCGGGATGTTTTCGCATCATTTTGAATCCAAAAATAGATGATTTAATTTCTTTATGAAAGTTCTGTGACATGATTTCGAAGAAAATGGTCCTTCAAATAATAATATACTCTTACTAAATAATACAAATTTAGAATAATTAATTTTTATACCATATTAATTAACGTAAAAGCCAACAGCCAGCAACAGGCACGCCTAATCAATGAAACAATAGTCACGTGACGGTGACGTTTATACGCGTTACAAGGGTATTGCGTAACGCACCGGATAAAAGGCAGATTATAAATGTTATTATAAAATATTTACCTAAAATGCATAAATATAAGTAATCTTTTGTATAAGAAGTATCTTGCTATCTTGTAAAACAATATAAAAGATATTAATTAATATTTTAAAAATGGCATTTACATATTTAGCGTTTTTGAACTTTAGTCCCATTTATTTAGTTATTTTACTTTCGTTTTGAATAATAATTCCCGAGAAATAACAAGAACGGAAAGTTGTTTCTTGCGACATCCTACGCCACACCAAAAATCAATAAACAGGAGTTTTTTCTGGATAATGAATCGTGTTTGTTTTTTGATTGTTTTTATAAAGATAATCGCATTTTAAGTATACAAATGCTACGGATTTATCTTAGGAAAGCGCAGTTCTCACCTGTAATATTTCTTCTTTATCTATTAGTAGTTAATTCCAATTTCATCTGAAGGTGAAATCTTTTCCACATGCGCAATATTGACAACACGTTTTCGTGATATTTTATTGATATAAATTTAATCAAGTTTTTTTCCCCATAAAATTACCTCTCGTGTTTTAGATTAATATATATTTTTTAAATTCAGTAATAATAATTTTATTTTCGTAATGATGCAATATCAGTTTTATTTTCATAACGGTAAATAAATTCATAAATATCACACTAGATGGCGACAATATACCTACATTTGTTTCAAATCATTGCGTATACACTCCCTTTATAAATGGAGGGTTTTTTATTAAGATTTTTATAATTAAAAAATAAATAAAATATATATGTAAACATATGAGGCGCATATTAATTAATTAATTACGTAATTAAAATAATTATTTTTATTTAAATACTTTATTAGGAATGAAAGGAGGAAATTTTCTACCTTTCCTATATTATTTATTAGAAGAAAAATTAATTATATTAAAACGTTTTATACCATAGGATCTGATACAGATTAAAGAGTTATTCAAAATTCACGTTTTAATTAATTAGTTCGAAATCTATTTTTTGAAATAGTTAAAAACGCAATTATTAAAAGAATTCAGAAATAAATGATTTAAATTTATTCAAAAAATTAGGTTATTGTTTTATTAGTTATTTCATATTAGATCAATTTTATATTCTTTGGTTTAATATATTAAATTTTAAAAGATATTTACGATAATTTTATAAATAAATTATAACTAATTAATAGTTGATGTCGGACTAGACTGGATGGCCGAGCGGTCAAGATAACATCCTACCACTCTGGAAGACCCAGGATCAAAGTTGATGTCGGGCCTCGTTTCTCATCACCTGATCGTACCATTGTGGGCCTAGCCAAATCCATAATAAGCTTGCTAAAGGAGGTCTTCTTAGTGTTCATAGAGCTGAAAGAGTTAATTAATTAATTAAAAGAAAAATAATATAATGGCGCACTCAGAGGAAGACCAAGGGATCCTGGCACCCTTCAAAGAAAAACAAACACTAGAAAATTTTCCAAATTTTTTTTTTTTAAATTAAAATTTATTTTTTCATTTATATTGTGTGATGTCTTCTTTCTGTACTACTTATGAATTAGCGGTCACATAAGGTAGAAATTTTATTGAATTTGCATTAAAAATTTTTTATCTGTTCAATTCGGCTTCTTCCAAAATTAAATCATGAGTGTGCCACTGATAAGCTATATATCAGGATGGCCAAACCTTCTCATGATGGAAGCCCATCAGAAAAAAGCGAGAGCCACATTCTCTAAAGGAACGGTATTATATATAGTGAAAGTACTATAGTTATCACTGTTCTATTGTAAAAGTTACCGTTACTTCATTGGTACTTTATGAAATCCTTCCACTTTACCAACGTACGGTACATTACAGTACCCTAGTTTTCGAGGTTAAGTTGCAAATTACGCTTACAATCCACTTATATCACTTATATCATATAACAGCCGGAAAACTTGCAAAACTGTTACTTATATGTAAATAGAATGTTCAAAGTTTATAAAAAAGAATTGTATAAATATATAGGAGCAAGAACAAGGATCAAGAAGTGTCACATGCGGCTGGTAAGCCACAGTTTGGTCTCCGTGGACATGTAATCTAACATCTAAGGAGAACTCTTACCAAATCTATTACAAACATTTAAATCTGCAATTATATAATAATTAAAGCAATTACAATAGTCATGTAAATCCATATTAATCTGTATTATTATTATCTAGTAAATTCTGAAAATTTACGTTAATATCGAAAATTATGTTTAGGATGTTGTTCAACATAATCACTTATCTTATTCAATAGTAAAGTATTTCATGTATTGAAGTAGCCGGTCTTATATCTATTACTAAAATTAGATGATCATTTATATCAAACGTCAGAAGTTGGAGTAAAGCATTTGAGTAAAAATGTGTGAGAATTTTAACGCAGTTTAAACCTTTCTTAAAAAATACTAATATTCCACCATGTTTACCATCGGATCATTGTAAATTGTAGACAATCAACACAATAACTTTCAGTCAATCAAGAAAAGGCGATGGATCATCATATGTTCAAAATATTGTAACGTTTATATTTACTATAAATCGAGTTATTTTCTATATAATAAGAAAAGTATATACTGGTAGCATGAGCGTCTGCAAAGGGGGCAAGCAGACCACTTATTCCTCCATTGGATCAAGTAAAAAATTTCCAAAATTATAATCATAAAAGTAATTGAGATAATTGAAATATCTAACCTTAAACCCTCGACCATGATAGCTTTATCTATTTTAAAATTTTTGTCTGTCTTAAAAACCTCCAAAAATTAAATAATTAAATAAAAATTTATTGATGTAATTATTTATCTTTTTGCTTCCCCCCGGAAATTTTTTCTGCCGACGCCTATTACTGGGCGTTTCAATATATTCTTACGATGAAATGCAATAATAATAAAATTATTTATTATTATACTAAAATATTCATAACCGCAGAAATTTTTAAAATAGAAAATTTTTCTAATATACTTTTTATTGCTTACAGAAACCCTAAATATTTTTAATGAAAACGAATAAAATTTAAAATTATTTTTCTATTTAAGTTTGAAAAGTTGTTAATTAATATAATTGCATAGAGACTATCGGGGGATCGTAATTAATTTAAAATATCCCTATTCAACGGTGTATGGAAAGATATTTAACATTTCAAATGCAACAAATCTAGCTTGGTGACATTTCAAGGTATGCGAAGATTTCCGTAAAAAAAATTAGTACCAAAATTCAACACTGGCACTTTTAGAACTGCGAGCAATGAAAAAGCAGTTCCTTCGAATAAACGTAAGCATTGCAGCCACGTTCTGTGTATAAAAGGCCACAATTATTAAATGTCATTTTTATCAGCGCTTTCTGGAAAGGACCTTGCCAGAATACGCATTTCTTGTGAATCTGTTTTTTATGAAAACCACGTCTGCACTTCCCCGGCTGAATTTCTCGGATTATTGTTAACTCCACAACTTTCAGAGAATGATAACTCGATTCGAGGAAATTGGACGTCAAAGTTCAACCGTTCCCGGTCGAAACCACAAACCTATCACTTCACAAATCGTATTCACCATTTACCACATTAGTATAGCTGTTATTAAATAGTCGATAAATAATGATACGGACTCCAGTATTGCATGCGCAGTTCACGACAGTTGGTGTATTCTAAGACACAACATGGAAGATACTAAGAAAGTTGGTGCATTGTTATTATATAAGATCAATTACAACCTACAGTTGCTTGTCGCCAACAAGGAAACCTGAATGACCTTGCATTGATTTTCCTTGCCTGATGGAAGGAAATGTGTCCAGGACATCGGAGATCCTATCGAGTGACGAGTCATATTTTCACTTCAGTGGAAAAGTGAATACCAAGTAACAGTCATTTGGCCAGGGAAAAATTCACATGTTTTCCAACAGATTCCAATGCATTCGCCGAAAGTTACAGTCAAGTGTGGATTTATAGTACACTTTCCTTGGGCCATTCTTATTCAAAGAATGGCTGTAACATTTTCTATGACGGTCAAGATATACCGAGATATGCTCGATAATTATCGTATCTCAACTGCATCAGCGACAATACATTGACTATGTACGAGGTGGAGGCGTTTTATATTGCACTTTAGTGCAAGATGAAACTCCTCCATCTCGTACAGACTGAATACAGCAGTATCAACAAATTTTACCAACAACAGTGATTGGTCGTGCGATTCTTACTGCCTAACCATCTCGTTCTTCGAATCTTAATCCGTGGGACTTTTGGCTGTGAAACACTTAAAAAGTGTGGTTTATCGAGAAATTGTTGCAAATTCGGCAATCTAAAAGACAATATCACACCGCACCTGAGAATCATCACAGACTATCAAATACGATCACCCGTTGAACACACTGTTTCTCAACTTTTTCTATTTTTATGTTTTCTGCCCTGTGGACACTAAAAGGACCTTTTTATCGAGCCCATCGAGGTGGCCACGCCTACAATGAGGTGGCCGGGAGATGAAAGATAGAGCCTGACATATCTGGGTCGGATTGACCATAAAAACTTGGTTGTTCGGATTCTATTCCAGACCTCCTAGAACAAAGTGCTGATGCCTTAATCGCCTCTATCATCTGGCTATCTACAGTCCTAAATTTATACTTATGACATGCAACATTAATTATTCGACTGATAACACGTGGACAATTCATCCGTTGCTTCAATTCTAAATCTTTTAACAGGCAAATAATTGTTGCTGCTTCATTCTATTGTGACCGAATGGTGCAGTTAGTCGAAACAATCTTTTACCTTTGAAATGTACAGTACAACTACGACTGAACGCTGGTAGTTGGTCTCGGGTTCGTACATACTAACAAACTGATTACGTGTAGTTTTCTGGGTTATTTTTAATCTGTAAATATTTTATAATCCAATCTTCACGATTGGCGTTTTTAACCCAGTGAGATCTACAGCCTAATTTTACAGGATATTCATAAAAGCTGATTCATTTTACAATTTGGATTCTCTAATTAGATTAACGTAGAATGCAACAACTAGCTATTTTTCCATAAATTTTTTTTTTTAAACTTTATCGCAAAACATAGATAATAAATACTTTTTCGCTGTCGTTCTTGTCCAATGGCTGGGCCTATATTATTCTACGTGATATTGGCAATAGCAAGTTTATTAGAGATAAAAACTTGTTTGATTATAATAGGTCAATGCTGTTTCAGTCAGGTAATTTCTAAATATGCCACCAGAGCTCCGGGAGTTGGATGAGTTTAGGGTTAAATCTCATTGGATAACGTTGAATTCTGCAAGAAAAAACATATATCAGGCATTTAAGGAACTATTTTCCATATACAAGTATGTATATGTAGTTCTTCAGCCTCAGCATTCAACATCAAATTTAGGGTAAGTGCTTTTGTTGTTTTTTTAAAATAAATTTTTTAAAGAAGCAATTACAGTTGTCCCTTGATAATCCGACAGGTATGGGACCAAAGGTGGGGTCGGATTACCAAAAGTGTCCGGATTACCGAAAATAATTACATATTTCGCATTGTTTTGCT